AGACCTCCTCTCTCCCCGGGGCCCACACAGCAGGGAGTGCAGACAGCACAGCTCCCACAGTCCGTGACAGTGCATGCGGTCACGGCTCCAGCGCCCTGTGCGCAGCCAGGCAGGGCCAGGATGCCCGGTTGGAGGCGGAGCATGGGGAGCCATGGGGGAACTGCACGGTGCTCCTCCACCCAGCCCCAGGATTGGCCTCCTCCCCATGCGCCCCAGGCCCACGTACTGTCTTCCACACTGAGCAACCCCCCCACCCCCCAGCACAAGCACACTGGCACAGCCTTCGTCCTAAGAATTAAAATGTTTACAGCTACAGCCGCGTCTGTCTGGTGCTTGAGTTCTGCTGAGACGTCTGCCATTTCGAAAAATCTGTCCCACGTGGTGAGAGTGAATTTGGGGCAAAAGCTGACATTTGGGACTTTTTTCCCTCAAGACCCCCTGGGTAAGGCAGAGACCTGTGTTCCTGCTGGCATGCATGGGAACATGATGCTGTCCTGCTGGGCCACCCTGTGGGGATGGCAGGAGTTAGAAAGGAATATAGTCCTGAACAGTCACAAAATGTCCTCGAGGCATTTCGGCCCTGAAGACTGGGGCAGAGGACAACAGTCTTCCTATCCCTTGGCCCAGGCACTAATGCCTCCTTCTCTGTTTTCGAAAGCTAAGTACCAGTGATTACTGGCAGTAGGTAGGCTCCACGATGAGAGTTATGGCTCCACAGGTCCCAGAGACCCAGGCTCGAGTTCTGTTTATACATCACAGCGGTTTGACCAATGGGACACTGATGTCACCTGCAGCAATTCTCTAAGTGGCTAACCAAACTTGGTTGGGAGCCCCCCAAACACTCTTGGGCCCTCAGGGCTAAGCATGGCCTGTGTTGTGAGTGAAGCTCTGCCCTGGGTTCTTTGAGTTCAGTGAGAAGAGACCGTAGTCAGTCTGGGGCACAGTCAGCCACTCCTGGGGACCCAGAGCAGAGCAGATGGGGACTCCTGAGGAGGGGGTAGGACCCACCTGCAGAGAAGTGTGCATGGGAGGTGAGGCCTGGTGCGCCCTCTCACCCCCATGGGCTACTCCTCACTGTGCCACCTGCTGTGCAGGAAGTAGCTTGGGCATCCTGAGCATGCATGCTGAGGTGTGGGTGCCCACAGGCACCACCAAGAGGAGCATGGCTCTGGAGTCACTGTGGCCGTGCAAGCTGCACCGTCAGCTGCAGCTTTGTGTTCGATCCTGGCACAGGACAGACGTTCACACCCACAGCTCAGGAGCTTGCGCCCTGGGCCTTCAGGCACTCGCTTGGCCGCAGCAGAGTGCTTCCCACCAAGGTTGGGCCCTGCAGGAGCTGGGTTGGCACTTACTGCTAGGGCACTCACAAGTTCTCCCAACACACAGCTGTTTTCTGTATTTGAACCCTGGATGAAAAGTTCCCTCCTCAAAGTGACGTAACACTATGCATGTTGTGTTGTGTGGAAGTCAGGAGGCCAAGTTCTGCACCATGTTGCGCACCTGCCTGACAAATGCCTCTCAGACGCCCAACACCCAGCATCTTGCTGCCTCTGAGATCTGCACGCACCTTGACCCCTGTACCCTCCCTGTCCACCCAGGTCCAGGTGCTATAACGTGCCCTTGGCACCCAGGTGCCATCCTCCTGGACAAGGCATCCTGCCACACCAGACAGAAGGGAGGGAGGGAGGGGCAAGGCATCCCACCAGCACCAGTGCCCTGGGATTTGGGGTGGTTGGGACAAGCAACTGCACTGGGAGCCTCTCCCTGTCGGCCAATTTAAGAGGCTTGTTCCTCCCTCCACGAGTCACCCCATTCAGAGCTGAGAGGAGTCCATCTGTAAAGCCTGGCGTGTGGCATGGCTGGTGACAGAACTGCCAAGGACAGGAGGGATCGTGAGCAGCAAGCCAGTCCCCAACTGGTTCTGCATCACACAGCCTCTTGTTCCCGCCAAAATGCTGCACACAAGCGGCACCACGTCGGCCCCTTATGTCAGGATCCAGGCCAGCTGCAGACCCATGGTGCCCTCCTGGAGCCCCTGGTGCATCCTGAGACAGGGATTACATCTGGCACCTTCACACATGCCCTGAGCATTCTCTTTGACATGGTAATACAATAATCACGACAGGACTTGCCACAGTGTCACAGCTAAACATCACCTGCAAGGCTTGGGGCACATGGCACACTAAGACGCAGAAAACCTGAAGGACCCACAGGGAGTGCTGGCAAGAGCGCCTGCTCTGGAGCCCCCTCAGACAGTTCAACTGCCCCTCTACGCTGGTCAGTGCCCCAGCCAGGGGCCACAGAGTTGGTGCCAACCCTCAAGCAGAGTACCACACCCTGCCTGAGCACAAAGCCCCAAGCCAGCCATTCTGTCTTCTTTGAAATAAGTTTCACT